TATGACTAAAAAGAAAGGTGCTTTTATTTAAACTGAAGAGCAAAAGAATTTTTAATAAACTTGTGATGGAGTGAAGGCAGAGTTTCATAATGAAATTTTCATACACATCCTAATGGTATAGGATCTCCCCACCCCCCCACCCCCAGTAAAAACAGATGGGGCCTAGTGATTTATGATGAGGTAATTCTAGAGAGGCATTTTATTGAACACCTGATCCCAGGAGAGGTCTTCCTGATGGCTGATATCCCAGAAGCCGTGCTTGGAATCCTACCTTGTTGGATTGGGTCACTCTTCTGTGGGATGATTCTTAGATTTAAAACAGGGGCGTTTCAGTATTCAGTATTCAGAATCTTCAGTATTCTGTTTTCCAGCCATAGGATGTTTTTGTTTTTGTTTTTCAAAAATTATTAAATCAAGTGAAAGAAGTGGGCCATGATCTTGCAATGCTTTGAAATGCCTATGAAAGTCTAATGCACCCCAAGTAACATCCTGCACCCCAAGATGAGGATCTATTTTTTGATGTAACAAGTGGAACAAAGAAAAGCTGGCTTTAGATGTCAGAGAACAGAATCAAAACTGCAACTCTGGGCTCTCCCTGGTGGCGCAACGGGTTAAAGCACTGCATTATTAAGCTCTTTGAAGCCACTGCAGCACAAGTTCAGTCCCCGGCTAGAGAGCTGATCCACGTGGTGCTACAGCTCTCTTCTGACCTGCCTGCTGCTCCCCACTCTGTTGCTGGTGAGTCCTCTCACCAATCACACCTCTGGCCTGTACCCCAGTTCTGCAAGCATAAATCAATCTTGTAAAAAAAAAAAAAAAAAAAGCCTGCAACTCTGCAGTGCAGTTGTTTACAGCATCATTCTAAGAGAATGTGATTCCATTCAGGTGGCCTGGGTGGGGGAGGTGGCGGGGAACGACCAGTGGGCCCTAGGTGGTGGAAAGAGCTTGGAATTGGGAGCCAGGACAAATCTGACTCAAAAAGAAGGGAGTTATATAATTTTTTTTTAATTGTTAAGTTGCGTTGTACTCAAAGTCTGTGTGAGCTGAGAAGCAGCTCAGGCTCTGGAGAGGCAGACTGTTAGGAGGCCCTTGACCATGTCCCTCTGCCCGCCCCTGCGAATTCCCCACACCCTGGCATGCTAAATAACCTGCAGTCTTCAGGTAAGCAGGCTGCAATCTGCCTTTGAAAAAGCCTCCCCAAGGAAGGAACCAGGCCAATGGAATTCCCAGGAACAAAGAAGGCAGCTTTAAGTAAATTAGGGCCATGGTGTAATTTAGTTGTTAGCTTGTGCACGCGGGATAAAATATGATACTTGCTTATGACCTTTGAGTCTTAATTATTCTCAAATCCATTGTCTTTACTACCAATTTCCCCTAAAATTTTTTTTCCAGGAAATTCTGGGTGTTTTGGATCCATCTCTGAGATCTCACTACCAGTTTTTCATTTCAAATTTTAGTTTTCTGTACACTATTTAATGTTTGTGGGTTTTTTTTTTTTACAGTTTGCAAAGTTTCAAGCCACTTGGAATATAGCCTATTTATTCCATCTTAATTTTTTTTCAGTCATTTCAAAGTGGCTACTCATAAAATATTAGTACTAATATTTTAATTATATTCTTTTCTTTGAAAATCCTTAACATTGTATGTTTTTAAAAACAGTATATTGTCATTTGATAAATGAAGTCACGTGTTTTAAGTTACAAGTGATACTTGAGAGCATGGCCATAAAAATTAAAGTGTAATTTCATTTACTGCATTTTATTTTTATTCTACAGGTTAATATACTTAACTGAAAAATTAATCACCAATGTTTTTTGGAAGTTTGATCCATAATGATTTGTAATTTTCAGTTGTTTCTGGTTTTCAGCTTCCTGTAAAATTTTTCAGAGTGACTTAACTTTCCTGGGTGGTGGTAGATAGTTGAGAGTTCACTCTGTGGCGTCAAGCAGCCCTTTCGTGATGAGCAGGGCCCCAGCCAGCTGGCAGAGAAGCTGAATCACTTCCATGCCGCAGAAATGGCGTGAAGACCGGAGACTTGGCTTTGCCTGCCACTCTCCAGCCCCCCATTTCATTCATCCTGGCAAAATTCCTAGAGTGGTCTCCTAACGGCTCCTGTCAGGGGAAGGGCTGTTCTGATTCCGGGAAAAGCGTTTTCACACATAAGCTTTAAAGTTTCTTGTTGTAGAAAGTTTGGTTATTTTAAGAGAAATTATAAATGAAAGGCCATCTTTTTTGTTTGTTAAGATTTTATTTATTCATACAGAACTGGGGTACAGGCCAGAGATGCAGGGGCAGCGAGAGGCTTCACCAGAGACAGAGTGGGGAGCAGAACAGGCAGATCAACGAAGTACACTGCTGAGGGGAGCAGTGGGCGGGTCAGGAGAGGTCTGCTGCGCCATGTGGACTCCTCCGGGGCAGGCAGGAATCGAACTCATTGTGGAAGTGGCTTAAGCTTCTCAGTGCAGTGCTTTAACCCGCTGCGCCACCAGGGAGGGCCGAAAGGCCATCTTTTAATGTGATTCATTGGTTCGTTCCTTGGGGGCCCCCGAGTTCCTGGGGACTGTTTCGTGCTGGCGAAAAGACTCCTTTGGTTGGGGGTGCGACCTGTTTCCCAGTGTAGACAGCCCTTCAGAGGAAGCCCGGCCTCCATGTGGGGGAAGGTTTTGATCTTCCTTCTGCTGCTCTTCAACCACCACATTTCTCAGGAATGTATTTCTGCTTTGCTGACTTGCCCTTTTCATTCAGATTCTCTGTATTCACAGCCTTGACTCAGTTTTAACGTCACCTTGATGCTGCTACACATTGTTCATGATGGAACGTTTGTGAAATACAGAGCAGTGTGTAGAAGAATCAGTCACCGTGATCCAATCACCTCATGGTTCTCCCACCACCACAGCACCCATGAGCCATCGCCACTGTCCTTTCTGCTCGCCCACCCCCTTATTCCCCTCCCCCTCCCCTGCTGTGGCCTCAGAGCTCTCTTTTGTCTGCAAGTCTTGTCTTTTTCCTAACTCTTCGGTTTCTCCATATTCCATATTAAAGTGAAACCATCCAATATTTTTATTTTTCCTTCATATTTCACTGAGCATAATCCTTTCCAGCTCCATTCTTATTGCTGTGAATGGCATGAGTTTATATTTTTGATTGCTGGATAGTATTCCATGTGTATATAGACCTCAAATTCTTGATCTGCTCATCTGCTTCAGAGGATTTATGTTGTTTCCATATCTTGGCTATTATAAATAGTGCTGCAATCAACATAGGATGGGCAGTTTTCCTTTTTGTAGATTCTTAGGAGTGGGATCACTGGATCATATGATAGATCCATTTTTCGTGTTTTAAGGAAGCGCCACACAGCTTTCCACGTTGACTAGACATTCCCACCAACTTGCTGCCTTTTTACAAGTATCAGTTGGTTATCATGACACAATATTCTCAGTCTTTTTCTTTTTTACCCCCCCCCCCTTCATTTTTTGCAGGGAAGCTTGGATGTGGTGTTCCTGGGGTAAATTTTAGTGGTCTCTTTGCAGAAGATGATGTGAGTCTTCTTGCTGCAGCTCTGCGGATTCAGGTTTGTTCAACACAGATACTGGAGTTTGGCGCTCTGGTTAATAGCTGTTAACATTTTGCAAAGGTTTCTTTTACTTAATGGGCACAGCGTTAAACACTTTACAAGCATAAGTAAGTAAGTAAGTCTCAGCAATCCTGTAAGGTAATGTATTTGATAAATAGGGAAGTGTAGACTTAGAAAAATGAGGTAATTGCCATTAGTCATTTGGCAAGAACAGGACAGGAACCTAAATCATAATCTGTCATTAATTATCTATTCTTGTGTAATCAATTATTACTTTCCAAATCTAGCAACTCAAACATTGATTTTGTCATGGTTTCTGTGGGTCAGATATTTGGAAGCACCATACTGGGTGGTTCTGGCTCTCTGTCTCTCCAGTGGTTAAGATCAAGATGTTATTGGAGGCTGCAGACATCCTAAGACTTGACTGGAACCCAGGGATTCACTTCCAAGATGGCGCACACGTGGCTGTGGGTGTGTGGTATTTGATTCCTCACTCAGTGTTGGCGGCAGGCATTGGCTCCTCATCTTTGGGACCTCGCCTGGTGTGGCGGCCAATATCCCTGGAATGAGGGATCCAGTGAAAGGGAAAAGAGGAAACTGCATAGGTCTGATGACCTTGATTCCAAAGTCTCACACCCACGTCTGCTTTTCCTCTTTGCTAGACTTGAGCTACCAAGTCTAAGTCCTGTTCATGGGAAAGGGATTTGGTCTCAAAATTAACTGGCTTCAAAACAGGAAGTGATATATTTCTATTAGGATTGCATGTTACATTTCAGCTAACACCAATTTTATCTGTGTGTGTGTCACTATTTAATAATTCAGTCTGTTTGTCTTATTTTATCAACTGTATGAGAATTGCGCTTGGAACAGTGTTACATGTCTTGGAAGCTGGACATCCAAGCTGATCCTTCATGCCTTGTCATTGTTTCCTCGTTCATCTTTTTTACTGGAGATGAAGAAACTACTCAGCGTATTTGGCTGCTTGTGTTTGATGTCTTGGTCAACACTTCCACTGTTTTATCAGTACCAGTATCTCACCTTTTCCTTCAATTACCTTAACTTAATTCCAACGCTTGCTCTTCACTTGGGTTATTGTGCACCTTTATAATTCTTCCCATGATATAATACTGCGGGACCATATTTTCATTTGTGGATACATTGTGTTGATCCACTCTTGCTGTTATGACATGCTTTCCTTTCTCTCCACTGAAGAATATGGTCAGTAGCGGCCGGAGGTGGCTTCGGGAACAGCAACACTCCAGGTGGAGACTGCACTGCCTGAAGCTTCAGCCTCTGTCCCCTGTTCCGAGGTAACTGACTAATGTCATCCCCCTGAAGTGCCTTAAATACCCACAGTCACCCATAAAGCAGGGACATAGCCCGTGGTGGGTGGCGTGGACGGTCTATAATTTGCTCTCGTCAAGTTGCTGTCACGCAGTTGCTTCCACCCTGGGGGTAAAGGACCAACCAAGCCGAGGCGTCCCACTTGGGCGCTGAGCTTCTGCAGAGCGTGGTAACACCACGGAGAAACCCAGATGGTTGTTTCCTTTGGTGCTCTTTAATGAATATTGTGTAATACTGTCTCTGTATAAATTTGGAAATAGGAATGGCAGGGCAAGCCTCAGTCTGTGATTTAGAATAATTAGTCAGATAAGCTATCTGAGCCAGAGAAATAAATGCCTTTTCCGGACTCACGCCGAGGCCCCTGGCTGCTCAGGGACTCAGCCCTGCCCCTTCATCCGGGACACACGTGTAATATCTTTGCTTTCCCAGGTTAAGCCAGCTGCTGGGCTGGCAGCTAAAAGCTCCAGCAGGACTCACTTTCACATGCTAACCAGCAGCTTCTCAGAGTTGACCTCTGTGTCCCTGGGCTGGCAGCTGCACACAGGGTCCAGTCAGACCTACCAGACTGACCAGTCCGTCCAGGCTGTGCTTTATCCCTGAACAAACAGCCTCCTAGTCATCTTCTGTGCTCATTAACTCTGAGCTTCTGAGGAATGTTCTTTGCAATACCATCCCGTCGTTGTGCAGTCCGTTTCAGAAAGCACCTCATTTTTACAGTTATTTATGTTGTATGAGGACCTTAATTTATAAAGGCAGATGAGTAAATTCTACTTGGAGAGAGGTTAAGATGGACTGGTCCAAATTGTGTACCAAATTCTTTGTACAACTCAAAATAAAGTCTGCTTGCAACCCCCTAAATGATTTAATTACATAACCAAGTCTGACTTGTAGAGCCACAGGGGAAGGCAGACAGGCGGAGTCCTTTATAAATCACTCAGGAAATCAAAATGATGTCACTATCACTCTAGACTAGTGGAGAGAAAGCTGGAGCTCCTCCAGGAACGAGCACTTCCTTGTAGGACACTGTGGCTGGAGAGAAACAGACAGAACAGCCAGACAAAGATGAAGTGGGCGCGTGGGCAGGGAAGCGGGGCAGGAGCCTGCAGAGGAAAGTGCAGAGGACCTGGGAGGGTCAGCAGCAGGGTCCCAGAGTGCAGCCCACTGGCTCTTATACCCTGCGGGGTCGTGGACCCGGGTGTAGGCTTACCGTTAGCTCCCTTGGCTACGTTTGGCTCCCTTAGGGTCCTGGAGAATGTGGGCTCGTGTGAGGTGGAGTGCAGGCTGCAGACCCAGAGGCTGCCTGCTCCCAGCACCCGTGGGCGCAGGCTGTCCTCTCCCACGTCTGCCGTGCAGTCGCTGATGCCCCCCGCACCCCCCTGCTCTGGCAGGTCCACCAGGTGGTCAGTTCCTGACGGATGGCCTGACCCTCCAATAAGAGCAAACGCTGAGCTCGGGGACCCCAAAGGGCTCACCAAGATCAGCACACACTCCCAAAGACTCTCAGGGCTGCTCGCTTGCCCTGGTAGATCCGTTTGCCCAGAGACACACCCAACCTCCTGCGATCTCCTGTGTCTGAAATGGAACCGCAGGCCCTGGGTCCTTTTTCTGACCATCATGTAATTAATACAATATTTGGAAATAGGACTTTGGCCTTGAAATAGGGAAGGGAAAACATGGACACAGATAAAACAAAATAGCATTTCCACATTTCTCAGATAGCCAAGAGCCACATGTGGCTAGCCCAGTCAGAGCAGCAAACAGGCTCCTGGCAGTTCGCAGCCTCTGGGACTCGCCCCCAGCAGTGAGCCCTTTGCACGCTGGTGGGTTTTCATTACAGGAAGGTTCTGGGCACACAGCTTAAGCAGTTCTCCTCTCCTGTGGCCTAGGTGTTACCTTTGTGCCTGGCTGATATGTTGCATCCTTATGAGCTTTCCAGAGTCGCTTCTCTAAAGAAAGTATCATTCTCCGGTGCACGGTAATTGTTAGCAGTTGTGTGAACACTGCCTGGGAGAAAGACCGCAGAGTCCTGGCGTGGGTTTCACTCTTGGCGGGGTGTGTGGGTGCCTTTCGCACTAGCAGCGACCACCTAAGCTGAGAAAACTCTTCTCTGCTGTGTTTCCCCCTTAGCGATATCGAGATTTCTAGAGCACAGACCCCCAAAGCCGTGGAAGTCCTTGCCAAGGAGATAGGATTGCTCGCAGAGGAAATTGAAATCTATGGCAAGAGCAAAGCCAAAGTGCGTTTGTCCCTCCTCGAGAGGTTAAGGGATCAAGCAGATGGGAAATACGTCATCGTGGCCGGGTAAGAACTTTGAATGTCTGTTTTCCTAAAAGGACGCGTTTATTAAATGCTCTTCCCCGGTTGTGTCTGTTCTCAGCATCCTCAAATCCATGCTGTCCTCAGAGTGCACATAATTGTGTCCATGTAGCTTGGTGTTCCTGTCTCTGCTAAAGTTGAGTTTTTATTTTCAGTGCAAAAAGTTCTCCACAAAATAGTGTGGGGAATTACTGATCTAATACTCATGCTTTGTTTCTCATGCTTTTCTTTTGATTCCTCTTGCATCTTCTTGGGTTTTTCATCATTTCTCATGATCAAAATCAAAATCAGAGTTAAAAATAAAGTACTGGACTGAGCAGGGTTTTTATGTGTCCTTAGCAAGAATATTTTACTGGAAAAGGTATAGATGATTGTGGGAGGTGTCCTCTGTTGAATCTCCCCGATATCTTACTTCTTATTTGCATAACCAAAATTCAGTACTTTTCTTTGCTTGCATTTCAAAATTAACATGGTTGGGCTATTTTTATTTGTGTTGGTCATTTTAGAAAAAGCACAGTTTTTTGTGAAAAAGAACATTTGTGATACTTCCCTCTTTTTAAAACAAAAGGCATTCACAAGTTGAAAAATGATAGAAAACGAGGGATTGCAAATATTTACTCAATGTGACCTCAGGGAACATCAGGAGCCCATATAAATTCCTTTGTTGTCTTGAAATTTCATTGCATGGGCTTGCTGAGGATATAGAAGCCAAGGCTCTTGGCACAGAACCTGTTTGTTAGGCAGAGACATTTCTTAAAGCTGAACTTGATCATAGTGAACTTTTATTTTACATATTTAATTATTAATGGAAGTGCTCCATTTCCTTTTCTGCTTGTAAGACTCTTGCATACCTCTTGTAAAAGTATTCCAAAATACAGACAGTATAAATAAGAACGTAAACCAGCCCAACCCCTACAACCCAAAGGAAATGGCGGGTGACCTTTGGCCCTCTGGACACGGGGTGTCTTTCCTAAATGAGAGCACCCCACAGAGGCTGCCCATAAGCAGCCCGCTCATTCAGCAGTGTGCTGTACACCCTGGTCTGTGGGATCTGTGGAGAGCCCTGTTACCATTTTTCATGACTACCTGACATTCCAGTGCTAGCATCTGAGGTGCTTAAACCTTCTGGGGAAAGGAGTTAGCATGGGGGGGGGGGGGTAAGTTGGGTGTGCCCCATTTAACATCTTTCCAGGCCCTGGATGGTCACCTGGAGGCACTGCTGTAGCTCAGCTCCTGGGGATGCAGATTGTTTCTAATTCTTCAAGTATATCAGGACAGAAAGATAATAGCCCACAATGTAAGTAGCCCACTCTGTTGGTTCTATTGGTGGGCACTTACTGTCTGACCTCGCTATTATAAATAGTGCTAAAATTAACAAGTTCCAGAAATTGGAGCATGCAGCTGGTGGAGCCCAAGACCAGCGTCCTGGTCATGAGTAAACGCTCTGGGGCATACGACTTCCAGCGCCACTAGAACATCTCATCCTCGGATTGCCTCCCTTCTTCCAGGCTTGCAGCGGTCTTCATAGCTGCATTTGCTGGTTTTCCCTCCCCATTTCAGGCAAGGAGGGTGTAAAGAAAGCTCAGAATGGTAGCCTCTCCGCTTATGAAGGCAGGCTCTCTGCGGTCGTTCATATGGAATGATTGTGACTTACTCCATTTGGAACTTGTCAGTTGTAGGAATGAAAACACAGCTCCAGACAGAGCTTTGTCCTTACCTGTGAACACAGAGTCCGTCCAATCCAGGGATTGTTGCCAGGTTCTCAGCTTGAAGTCCTGTTGTCCAAGCTGAGCCTCCAGCCACATGCTGAGGTGTGGCCCAGCCTGGCTCTTTAGGGGTCCAGCTACGTGTCCCTGCCTTCAAACAGGGCTCCACATTTGCTCATACGCGCTTCTTGTGTAACGGAGCTAAACCAGCCAGGTTGCCAGATTGTAGGTAGAAATAAAAATTAAACCTGAAATCTCAAGTACAGATGAAACTCCAAGAGAGCAAGAGCCCTTTTACTGAAGTTGTAGCATAAGTTTTCTTACGTAACAAAGACCTCGACAGGCGCACACATTAATTGTGTTGCCTTCAATTGCTTTGGAACAAAAACCCAAACATTTGAGATTAGGTTGTAGAGACTGAAATGCAGCTGCGGCAACACTGGGAAGATTGTGGAAGTTACATACCACACCGAATTCCATAAACTCAGGACTTTTTTCAGTGTGTAAACTGCCTTCCTTATCTAATCTAAGTAAAACACAATTTAAATCGAAAAGTTCAAAGTCAGAAATCATCATCTCCATGTTTGGTCAGAAAAATTAGTTATAGAAAAATTATACCGTGGCAACTTCTTCAGAAATATAAATGACCTATTCATTCAATGGAGAATTATTTCCTTTATTCTGAAAGGATTTTTATCTTGAAGATAATATTGCTTTTTTGCAAAGATAAGTTTTTAACATAAAAATGGAGAAGCACTGTGCTTACTCAGCAGTGCTCAATTTTTGTAATTCTTTATTTACAGGACTTCATCTGTGCATCTGTCTCTTGTACACATAGAGATTATGCAGTAAATAACCATTGCGTGTTGCCTTCTTTTTCTCTGAATACTATCTCTAATCTCTCTGGTGCTTTAGAAGACTTCAAATAACCAAATAATTTTTCAAACGTAAATAACAATCTGTTTGTACTATAATTTTAATTTAGGTATAAATGTGATTTAAATATATCAACAATGGGATTAAAATATAAAACAATGAAATTTTTTAAAGAAATTTCTTACTATTAATATCCCAGTGCAAAACAAATTAATTTGTTTAAAAGAAAACCTATTCTCTAAACCCCAGTATCTTGCTTTGTCAGAATCATCTGTATTTCATCAGCTACACATCGAATGGTATTTACACCTACATATCACTTTATTTGCTTTGCCTGACAAAATGAAAAGTATTGGGAATTGTTCAAGGAAATAAGCCAAAAGAATCTGAAGGGCTCTTGAGTTTTACATATTTTCCCAGTTACACTAATGAAAAGGAATTTGTTGAGAACCTGACTCAGAGTACAGCTGAGGGGCCCTGAGTGTGTGCGCAGGGCTGATCTCCACCGGCCCTTTACTGATTTCGGTGTAGAAGTTTCTAGAACGCCTCCGAACTGCTTGCACAATACAGCTAAAAGAGAGGCCCAAACTGGTCTGTGAACAGACTGCGATTCGTATTAAAGGAAAATAGCTTTTCTATCCTTCAATTTTGGTTTCTGGATAGTGCCAAATACCAGCGATTTGATTTGATTTTTTAAAAGTTTGAACCTATTATTTTGGTCCATGTGAAAATAGCCTTGCTGCCTTTGCTCAGATTTTGCTTGTCTGCCTTGGACAACTAGATAGCTGTGCATTTTTTCCTTTCTTGACACAACTTGCAAAATAGAACAAAGCTATCTAGAAGAAATCACCACCGGTAGGACTTGAACTATTTACCCCAGTCAAGTATGGATCACAGGCAAATGAACAAGGGAATTTATCACTAGTAATAATAGGCTTTTTAAGAAACCTCCCAGACCCTCAAGACCCTGGGGCTAAGGCGTCTGTCTTACGCGCTTCTAGGTTTGGAGTTTATCGTCGTCAGTAATGCTGAGTCTGAGATCTCGAGGGCAGTGTTCCCACTGCCCTCTGCATCAACAGCTTCCTAGCCTCTGAGTGATGCAGACTGTCAGTCAGTGGCTGAGTGTCACAGAATGCCTGAGAGGGTCTTACTGTGGTTGAAAATAAATAATCTTGGTCTTAGAAGAATTACTTTATTTTTTGAAGATGTATTTATTTGTCCACGCAGGAACTGGGGTACAGGCCGGAATGCCGGGGATGAGAGGATTCACCAGAGACAGAGTGGGAGCAGAACAGGCAGGTGTACTGAAGCATACTGCTGAGGGGAGCATTGGGCGGGTCATGAGAGGTCTGCGGGGCCATGTGAGTCAGCTCCCTGGCCGGGGATCGAACTTGAGCTTCAGTGATTGGGGACAGTGTCACAGTGCTGCGCTTCAACCCGCTGCACCCAGGGAGGGTCCAAGAGGAGCTGTCTTTTGTTAGGCATTGCTGTTTTGCTTCTAATGCCCTAGAAGGGAGCTACGTCACTTTATCTCTGCCTGCTCAAGGCCCTGTATGGGAGACAGGCATGCCAGGAGGCTATGATGTTGCCCTTAGTGTGATCATCTTGCAATGCTCTGGGAGCCCAGCAGGTAATTGCTTGCAAGTGTTGAGTAAGGCAGTGAACAGAAATCACAGTTCTAGCTCCAAAAATCCTAAGCTCTTCTAGAAAGGGGAGTCAGGTCAGCATAGAGCTTGTTCTTTCCATGATCATTTGTAACCTGAGCCAGAGATAGAAGATGACCCTAAAACCAAATTTTGATACCGAAATTAGGAATGAGGTGAAATAACATTTTTATTGTAGCTCTACTTATGGCTCCCAATAAATCCTTCCTACTTTCTGATTTCTTTCCTGAATTGTATTAGTTGGCAGAAAGCTCAGCAGTATGTTTCCAATTAAGACTTGGATGGCCCGCTGAAGTTTTGAGGAGGTCATCACTGGGCGTGTCTGCTTTGGGCCGTCTCCTGCAGACTGTCAGCATATCCTTGGGAATGAAAATGTAATCCTTCATGTGACAGTTTAAGAAAACCACCTCTTCCTTTGCAAACAGCAAATGCTCAGTCTGGCGCTCAAACCCCCTGGTCATGGACTCCATTATGCTCTGCAGCCTGTTGTGAGGGCGTGAGCTTTGTCGCTACTTCAGCTCATGCTGCATCTCAGGTCAGAGAACAGGGACTCAAGCACAAGCCTGGAGTCCTCATCTTGGACCCGAAGAGTCCCTTCCCCAAGCGCTCTCATGCTGTCTCCCCAGCCCTTCAGGGCCAGCCACGCCACCTCTTCTGGCCCTGTGAGCCCTCACTTACCTTCCAGGAAACACCACCTCCTGCAGGGTCTCTGGCTTTATAGTGCTCCTTAGTAGTTTCTTTCAGTACTTTCTTCTCCGTAACATCCCTTCAGAGAAAATGTACCTCAAGGGAGCCGCCTGGGTCCCTTCTCGATGCCCTGTCCCATGCATTAAGTTGCTAATTGTAGATCGCCATCTCTGTCCGTGGCAACAGCTAGTGAAGTCAGACAACTTGGCTGGGTTTGACTTCCAGCTCAGCAGCTTCCTGAGTGGCCCTGGCGACCTGCCTGCTGTCCCAGTCCAGGGAGACACCCCCCTTCCAGAAGCTCCCACCGTATAGCCTCAGCGTCCTGTTTCCCTGCCTCAGTGACGGCCATTCACGGTCATGGCTGATGTGTCTGCACAGTTGCCATCAGCCTGTGCTGGACAGTGCCGGCGTCCAGCTCAGCTGTCATGGTCCCCAGGTCTAGCCGCCATGTCTCATCCTTAATAACGTGCGAGCTGATGACTGTATTGTGGCGTGGGCTGGGCTAACTGAGGTATGTGATGTGTCCCCGAGGCCACGTCGTGCAGTGTACAGGTCAGGAGGCCATCGCGAGTTTTGTTGTGGGTGAGTGTCCAGACAGCCAACTCACCGCATTTAATTCACAGGTGCCCAGAGGACAGGTCTTCAAACGGTGGCTCTCGTGCTCCAGGGGACAGGCCAGTGGAGCTTCACTCGGGAGCCTCTCACACCCGGCCCGGTTAACATGACGACGCAGTTATGCCTGTTGGTTCTGCAGACCCACACCCCCCACGGGTGACTGGCTCAGTTTGGGGCGAATTCCGCACGAGTTCTTTCCAAATAGGGGCTTCTTGGTCTCTCTAGGGAATAGGGGGCTTTAGTAGCGCAGACAGCTCCTCTTCGGGGAACGATGCGGCCTGTTGGAGCTGTCTGGGTCGAGTGCAGCCCTGGGCGAGCTCCCCCCTCAGCTGCGTGCAGACCTTTCAAAGACCAGGCTGGGCCCTGAGGTCTAGGAGGCGATGAGCAGGGGCGGCCGGCTCCTTCCCACGCCAGGGGAGGGCCAGGCAGTCGCTCTCCGGTGGACCTTTGCATTAACACCACACCCACATGATGCCCCCAGTGACCGGCCTTGTAAGAACAAGAGCCAAATGGCCCACCGGCCACAATGACATCGGCTTTGTAATCATCTGAGCCATTCTGACGGAAGGTTCTATCCCATTTCTACAAGTGACAAGTTGTCAGGATGCTGCCACGTGAGCACGTTTCTGTAGTCTCGGCCCAGCGGTACATCTGGAACTTGATTCTAGTGAGCCTGGACTGCGCAGTGGGAAGACCAGGTTGGGCCAACAGGACAAAATTCCCATGTTCACCGACACCTGCAGGTTCGGTGCTGGTAGCTCGGGTTGGAAATCTTACTAAAGGGGCTCTCCCCCATTCCGCCAGGATCACCCCCACGCCCCTCGGGGAAGGGAAGAGCACGGTCACCGTGGGGCTCGTGCAGGCGCTGACCGCGCACCTCAACATCAACTCCTTCGCCTGCCTGCGGCAGCCTTCCCAAGGGCCGACTTTCGGAGTGAAAGGTACCTGATGCACTGCCAAGTGTGGTTTTCAGAACAAAATTGTCGGGGAAGGACATTAAAGAGCACATCAGCAGACATGGGAATCTTATGAGAACCTGAAACATTTCATCCCTGCATGCTGCATGCACCCCCACCCCGCCCTGTGTGCACCCCTACTCTGTCCTCTCTGCACCCCACCCCTCCCTGCATGAGTCCCCACCCTGCCCTGCCTGCACCCCTCTCCGCCTTGTGTGCACCCCTACTCTGTCTTGCCTGTGGCCCCCCTCCACATGTGCAACCCCACTCTCCTGCCTGGCCCTCTCCACCCCACCCCGCCGCCTTGTAGGTTGGGCCTCAGTGGGGCTTCAGTGGACCCCACTGGAAGCCTTCTGGTTTCCTCAGGAGTGATCTTGCCATTTGTACTGGTGTTTAATCATGCCAGCCACGGCGGAAGGAAGGTGTTTCTGTGGCAGTAGAGACCTTAGGTCAACCCCACGGCGTGCCCTGAGGAACTCAGAAGTAGGCTGAACAGAGAGGATGGAAGTCCTCCTCCCCCTCTCATAAATTCATCGTGGAGTCTCACTCACTTTGCAGTAGCCTTTATTGCTGCTGTTGCTCTTTGTTCTTGGCTCTGGGAGCTTCCCAACATGCTGTCTTCGTATTACTGTTGCAAATGTTAGCATCTCATGACTCACCGGTCCTGATAGACCATGCCACACATTATGCAGTAGAAGGAACAATGGACTTGGGGCAGTAAGCATTACTCAGGGCTTCCTCCATGCTGTGTGACTTTTCACCAGCCATAACCTCTCTGAGCCACAGTTCTAAAAGGGCGAAAAGACTGATAGTAGCGGGCTCCCCCACGGACCGTCAGCAGGGTAAACTGTCCACTGATATGCCTGTGCAAGGTAGAGAAAGAACAGCCTTTTAAATATAGTCACTTTACAACTTTGAGGGATGAACAGTGTGACACATCTTATGTACTATAATCTAAAATAAACCAAACTTCACAGTGTGTCAATCTCAGGTTATCGGATAGGGTTTTTAAGCAAAGTTATTTGATGCTTATATGTCCGTGTCATTGGGTGAAATGTGGCCACACGGACCTGTCGATAAATTAATAACTTAACCTCACGTCCTCCAGTGTATGTCTGGCTGTGACAACATGTGCTGTTATCTTAACCCTCTTAAAGAATAAAGCAAGAAGACACAGCCCTCCTACGGAATAGTTGGGCGTGTGGGCTTCTCCCCTCCTGACTGGTCACGCATCCCGCTACCTGTCACTTCACATGCGCGGGGCACACATGTGGGGGGGGGGGCCGTGTGCCAGCTCTGTCCATCCGAGGCTGGGGGTGGTGACTCACTGCAGCTGTACCTGCTCTCTTGTGCAGGAGGAGCTGCGGGCGGCGGGTATGCTCAGGTCATCCCCATGGAGGAGGTAAGTCAACCGCGGGCCCCAGCACTTAGCGGACCGTCAGCACACGGTAGGTGCTCACGCTCCTAGTAGGAATTACCGCTGGTTTTGTTGAAGGGACAGCAGACGTGTTTACCCACGGAGGGCTGAATGGCAGGGAGACTACAGGGTAGTCTTCGAGATCGGGGTGGGGATGATAAAGGCAGTCGCCCGGTAACACCAGTCTTGAGTGTCACATATGAAGGGGTATACAAACTTGCACAAGTTAGAAGATCCAGAACTGAGGCCAGTTTGGGGTAGAGAACAGAAGGTGGCAGGGTAGGGCAGTCTTGGCCAGCGGCTTGGGACAGCGTCGCTGCCCTCGGCATCCGCTGCAGGGCTGGGATTCTGGTCACCCTCCAGGCAGAAGGCTGTTGAAACTACCGCGTGACAGTGGAGACGGCCCACACGACCAGGTAGCCGTTTCCTGGATTTGACACCCTCTTTCTTCACCTCTTTTTCCCCAGTTCAGCACAGGGCCACTCCTCAGTGCCTCGGACAGACAGTTCAGACCAGAAGAAACTTAATAAATAACCATGGGGACATGTTAGCATGGCAGAATTGAGAGTGAGGAAGGCAGCTAGAGGGTGAGAAGGTGCCAGCCTGGGGGGTGATGAGGGAAAGACACCCCAGAGCAGTGGGGAGCCCCTGGGCAGGCCTGTCCAGGGAATAGCATGGACAGGAGGTGTACAATAAGGAGACTAAGCCAGTGGCCCAAGGCAACAGTGGCCAGGAGGAAGGTGGGGGGCTGGACGAAAGGATGTGGCTGATTGAAGACATGTTTGCAGGGTTAGATGCGAGGGTGAGGAGAGGGACTCAGCGCTGAGATCCAGGCACTGGGCTGAGCGAGTCGAGGATTATTTATTGAAACAGAGAACTGCTGGTGTCATGGTGTGAGCTTTGACCTGTGCAGGGAGGCGGGGAGGGAGGGGACCTGGAAGGAAGGCTCTGAGGGGGCCTGTGGCCGTCGAAATAGGGGTCAGATAGACAGCTAGAAAGAAAAACTTTCATCCCAGTTGTAAAGGATTCAACAGAAACATCAGAAAAGAATATTAAATAGCCAGTGAATGTTTACATTCACTAAGAATCAAATTAATCTACATGAAAACTGCTGTTACCATTTTACTGTCAAGTGGACAGGGTTGATTTTTTCGAATAGTAATCATAGGTTTTGTAACGACAAAATTGAAATATACCCTTATACACAGCTGGGAAGTGTATCTTGATAAAACCTTTCTGAAGGGGAGTTACAAATACGTAACAAGTGCCTTTAAAATATTCATACCCTTTGGCCCAAATAAATTCATTTTTAGTTTATCCTAAGGAAAAACTAGCTTTATGAGCAAGGAATTTATTAACTGTTTTCTTCACATAGCATTAAAAAGTCTTGTGTCAAATATCAAATTAATTATGCTTTAAGACTAATGATATAAAATGCTAAAGATAGTACCATTAAGTGCAAAAGCTCAGGTGCAACCTATTAGAGTCTTAATGATCTCCCAGTTAAGATAACAAATACATTTTGTAAAGTGTCATTTTTTGGTATTCCTAGTTATTATATATGTTATAAAATAAGATATATGTTAATAGTAAGATTTGAATGTTTAGCCTTCTTAGAAATATAACTTAAAATACCACCAAAATACTTTTTTTTTGCATTTTGACCCAAGAATTTTATTTTTTGTGTGTGTGCCTCTTTTTTAAAGATGTATTACTACATTGTTTCATCTGTGCACCATTAAAAATCAGAATCTGTTTTTCCATAACCCATTGAATTTACCGCTACAGGTGCAGTTCTGTCCTTCACTTGTTAGCTGACTGATCTGCCTCCTGTTAACCACTAACTGAGCTGATGGTCTGTTTTATTCAGCTCATTCATCAGTTCATTTTTTCATGTTCCACATATAAGTGAAATCACACGTTTGTCTTTCTCCTTCTGACCTATTTCACTTTCAACCCTCTCAAAAAGGAATTTGGTAATATCAAATCCTTTAACCCAATAACCACTACTTGAGATATATTATTTATTAGTGATTACTTTATTTCTTAAGCTATTGTACATGTTCTTTATAATTGGGAAAGTGAAACTTGAGTTTCCAGACATAGGAGACTGAAACATTTGGATACATCTGTTCAATTTCATAAGCCCCCAAAGTCTCCACATTATAAACTTGCTATGTACAAATAGTAATTGTGTGCACCTGGAGCAGAAAAAAAAAAAATAGAATTAATGGTGTTGTTAAGATGACATTTTTCTATATCTCAGACTTTATATGCTATTTTATTTTATTCTATTATTTTATCCCTGCCTAATTCCAAAATAGACTTGATACTTTACTATTTTCTAAATCATAATCAACACACAGAATTAAATCAAAGTAAGGAAGCATTCACCAAGACCACTACAGTGTCACATTATATACACCCAAGAATGGAAGCATCTGGAATTCTGTGTTGTCAAGTGGAAGGTCCTGATACTGGTTTTCTGACTTAGACTGTTTATGGACTTAGCTGGAAATAACCATCATCAACAGAAAGTCTGATTTACTCAGAAAGTTCTTGAATGCCACCGTGTTTGTTCAAGACAAGTAGAAAGATGACCTTCTTTTTTATATAGTTCAACCTTCATCTGACTGGGGACATCCATGCCATCACCGCTGCCAATAACTTGCTGGCTGCTGCTATCGATACAAGGATTTTCCACGAAAGCACCCAGACAGATAAGGTGAGAAAGTTTCTTATCCTGTAACTCGTGGATTACTGAGGAGTTTGTAGAGAATGTTCTGGAATCTGTGGACTCTGAACTTTTATTCAGAGTGTTTCTTGGGTAGAAAATCCAACTTTGGCTGGCTTCCCAAGGGAGTATATGACAGCTGCCAAGCCAGTAGGAGATTTATGTTGGTTGTATTGTTTAACTATTCTTTGAGTTTAGTTTTGAAGGTAGACCAGTTCTCTTAGGGCTGTTCTCCGGTCTAGACTTAGGGCATTGGAGAAAGATCTTAAGGCTCTAATATTACATGGAATACCCTTCATGTCCTGGAAGGAGGTCAGCCCCCTGGTTTATCTTTGGGTGCAGGCTGTGTGGAGTAAAACATTCACCTGAAGTGGGGCAGAGTCCCGAGAGCCAGTTCTTTAGACCTGGAACACAGATACAAGTGAGATGCCCATGTTTTACAAAAATCATGATTTCCTCCCATTGCAGTAACTCCCTAGGAAGTGTTTGAAACCAAATACAGATAAATGTGATTTGATCATTGCAAGGCTATAGATCAAGAAATATGCATTCATGCGAACACTGCAGTATGCATTATTTCAGATCCAGTCAGATTTATTGAGATGACAGAACTTAGCTCTACATTGTTTACATGAGTCAAGAATTTTAATAGGCTCTGTAATCTAAACAGTCTGTTTATAAATGTAATGAACTTTGTCATATCTGTGACTTGTCCAAATTCATGGTTAGCCCTCAAACTTTGGTGGTGTTTTGTTTTTGTGTTTTTAGGCTCTCTATAATCGACTGGTTCCTTCTGTGAATGGTGTTCGAGAATTTTCAGAAATTCAGCTTGCTCGCCTGAAAGTAAGTTTCCTCTTTGTGGCTTTTTAAACAGAAGCTATCATGGAAAGAAATCAGACAAGTTGCCAAAGATGGAAGCTTTGGAATTGATTTGAATGGGTTTTGAGATATTCTATATGAACAGACAGTATTCCCAGGAGCACAAAACTGCGTCCTAGACAAGGAGCAGGGTGGACAAACTAGTTCACCTTTTTTGGTCTCAGTTTCTTCTTCTATAAAGCAAGAACACCGCTTAGCTGATGTGGATGGAAAACCAGTCACCTAACTAGTGAGAATTCCTACGAATCCTTTATTATTGTCTGGGAAATTTGAAAATCCATGTTGTTTTTTGGTTTTTGGTGTTTTGTGGTTTTTTTTTTTTTTGTTTATTTGTTTGGTTTTTTTTAGTAAGATTATACTTGTAAGTAGTCTTACCGATCGTTTTATTTTTCTGGTGCTATCTCATATGTCCTACTCATCACATCAGTTTCCCCTTGCTCTTTTTTAGAGGTTCAAAAATCACTGGGAGGGATAATCCACAGTCACTGGTTGATAACAGTTGATTTAAAAATTCTCTCCCTTGCTTCTCTTGCTGAGCCAAACTTAGCTGGTTGCAGACTACCTACAACTAGCCTCAGCATCTGCTGCATCGCATGTCTATTTCCCAGATCCTTTTCGTAGCCTCGTTTAATGGAAACCACTTTCCTAGGCTGTTTCCTTGATGGAAGTGGATGGATTGGAAGTTTTCATGGTAGTTCCTCAATGAGTTAGAAATAATTTCTTTAGAAAGCACAGACACAGACCCTATGTGAATTATCAGGAAAAAAGAACCAGTGACCTGCAGCAGCAGTGATGATACAAGCAGCACTTACTGCCCGCCAAGCCCGGCTCTGGGTAGCAGGAGCCGCCGGGGGCCCCGCCCAGACCTGCCGCCTGTTCCTGTGTGCCGCCAGCCGCTCTCCATTTTCCATCTGTCACGCTACAGGTGTGTCACAAGCCCCAGTGACTTCCACTTAGAGCAGATGCACACCTGTCTTGGAGATACTGCAGGTCTGATTCCAGAGCACCCCAATAAGGGAGGGTCACCATTAAGCGGGTCACTGACTTTTCGGTTTCCCGCTACAGAAAACAGTTGAATGATGGTGCCCTGTCCCTTCTTAAGTGTCATCTGTGAGCAGCGTGTATACAAAGCAGTAGCTCAGGCTGTTGGAAAAATAGTGCCGAGGGACTAACTCGACGCAGGGCGGCCACAGACCCTCGGTTTGTGAAAACGGTGTTGACTGCCAAGAGAGGTGAAGCCACATGCAATCACCGCACACCTGTTTTTAGGGAGACGGGCTGGCCTGAACCCCAGTTCACTTGCTCTGTTTCTTTTTTTCTTTTTCAGCTTCTTTAATTGTCGTTCTCTTTTGAAGAGCTGCTCTGAGCTCACAAAAAAAGTGGGGTAGCAGGAATAGAGATGTCCGCTGTGCCCCCGACCCCTGAGCCATGGCAGCCTTCCCCACTGTCAGTCTCTCTTACTAGAGTGTGAGTGGTTGCTGCCATTACTGAGGCTAGGCTGATACGTCACGGTCACCCAGCGTTCGGCCCATGGTTTGGTTGTACACAGTGTGCTTTGGACAAAGGAATAATGGCACAGATCAACCAGGATCGAATCCTGGGAGCAGTTTCACCCCCTAAGTGTCCTGAGTTCTTGATATTCTTGCCTCCTCCCCCGTAACTCTTGTCAACCACTCATCCCTTTATTGTCTCCAAAGTTGTGTCTTTTCCAGAATGTCTCAGAGTTGGAATCACACAGTAGTTAGCCTTTTTAGACTGATTTCTTTGACTTACATATGCATTTAAGTTTCTTTCACGTCTTTTCATAGCTTCCTAGCTCATTTCCTTTTAGCACTCAAGAATACCTTGTCGTTTCAATGGATTGTAGCTTTCTATTCATTCACCTTTTGTAGTTTACGGTTGTCATTTCAAGTGTGGGCAATACTTAATTAAACGGCTGTAAATATCCATGCACAGGGTTTTATGTGAACAGCCATTTTGTTTTTTAAAGATTATTTGTGCATACAGAACTGGGGTACAGGCCAGAGGCTCAGGGTCGGTGAGAGGCTCAGGGTCGGTGAGAGAGTGGGGAGCAGAACAGGCACATCAACGAAATACACTGCTGAGGGGAGCAGCAGGCGGGTCAGGAGAGGTCTGCCACGCCCTGTGGATCTCCTCCAGAACCAGCGGGAATCGAACTCATGCGGAAGTGGCTTAAGCTTCTTAGTGCTGTGCTTTAACCCGCTGCACCACCAGGGAGGGCCTTTTTGTTTTTTTGGTTTTTTTTTTTTAAGATTTATTTGTGCATACAGAACTGGGGTACAGGCCGGAGGCTCAGGGACGGTGAGAGGCTCTACCAGAGACAGAGTGGGGAGCAGAACAGGCAGAATGACAAGTACACTGCTGAGGGGAGCAGCGGGCGGGTCAGGAGAGGTCTGCCACACCATGTAGGTCACCTCCCAGGTGGGGATCAAGCTCAAGCTGAAGTGAGGGCCCTGTGAACAGACACTTTCAAGCTCCTTTGGGTAAATGCGTGCCTGGCATTTGCTAGATTAAATGGGGTGGGGGGAGGACATTTGGATTTGTAAGAAGCTGTCGGCTGTCTCCTAAGTATTACACCGTTTTGAATTCCACCTCTGAATGAGAACTGTGTTGCCCACATACCCACCCGCACTGGTGTTTAGGTCGTTGGTATCTGTCATCTCATTCGCGTTTCCCTGATGACATCTGACGTCAGGCGCCGAGGCCTCTCTGTGTCTTTGGCGAGGCCATTTGGCCAATAAAATGGGCTTTTCATTTTATTGCTGAAGTTGCAATTGAGGATTGGTGAAATTTTCTAAGAAGACTTCATGATTAGTCATGGGGAAAATGAAGGGGTGATTCTGGCTACATTTTGCTGTCTATTCATAACAAAAACACTGCATTTTTTTCTTCCTGATCATTAGAAACTGGGAATTAAAAAGACTGATCCGAGCTCACTGACAGAAGAGGAAATCAGTAAATTCTCGCGGCTCAACATCGACCCGTCCACCATCACCTGGCAGAGAGGTGGGTGCTGATTGCCCCGTTGAGTGGGTCCTGGAGGTTCCAGGGGAAGTTCTTGAAGCAATTCACAAACGTTCATTTTATTTCATCCCAGCTTCTGATTTGTGACCCCACCATGTAATGCAGAAACCAACCATCCGCGCCTCCTATTCAGGAGAAAAGTCTTCGTCTCTTAAGCCAACTGCCCCTTCTGGGCTAAGTTCCACCCACGCCACCTTTTCTAGAATTGGCAGGAGCTTTTTTCTTTGTCTCTTCTCTGACCCTTTTCCTATATTCAGAAAAGTAAAGTCTGTGTCCTTGTTCTCAAGGCTTTGCTCTCCACCGTCTTTACCCTGTCACTCCTTGGCCACTTGCTCCAGGCAGCTCTCTCGTTTATATTCTCACAGTGGAATCTTTCCTCTGTGTCTGTTCACTCCTCTGACCCTTCACCTGCAGCTGCGTCCCCCTCTTGCACCACCCTCTGCGGGGCGAGGCAGCGGGCAGAGCCGCACAAGTGGGGATCTAGCCTAGCACTGAGCCAGATTCCTGCTGCCAGATTCCTCCTGGGCCCGAGCATATGTGGAGATGGCCAGCGACATGTCGGGTGAACCCATAGGCTGCGGGTGAGCGCTGCTGGGCCGTGTGGACACAAGCTCCCTGTGCTGTGCTGCTCAGACCTGCTCCCTCCTCCCCTTCCTGGCTCCTTCCAGACACCTAACTTATTGCATTTACCTTTCAAGGTATTTTCTTACTGCCATGTCCACTCCCCAGTTCAGCAGGTGCATGTTATGGAGATGCTGTCCTGGCGCGTGCTCAGAAGTCCCCCTCCTGGGTGGCAGAATCTGTCGCCTCCGTGTGGGAAATTTGCCGGCCCGCGGCATGGCCGTATGATGACTGCACCTGCCTTTACTCCCTGCCTGGTGTCCTGCCAGGTGGGCCTGTCTCTGTCCTGCCTAACCTGGCCATCCCCCTTCTTGCCTCCGCCCCCCACAGATGGGGCTCACCCCTTCACCCTGCTTCCCTCCTGAGAATCCATTCACCCAGGTCATTCAGAATTCAGTGTTTTCCTACTAACCCAACCAAGGTGAAGCAACAGCATCAGGGGGCGGAGCACACACCGATGAGCTGTGTGACTCTGGACAAATGTCTCACTCATTTTCCCCTCATGTGGATGCTGAGCATTAAATGACACCCCCTTCCCATCCAGCCGCTACCACATCTGGAGGTTCCCTCTTCGGATGCCTTCTCCCCACCAGGCCTCGTGGGTCAGTCCGCGACACACTTACACCAGCGGAAGCGGCAGCGCCCGGGATCCCAGGCGCCCGCAGCCCGCTGTGTTTGAGATGTCTGCTCTGCCGGGGCCCAGGGCCAGGCAGGCTTTGGTGTTATTAATCATAGATGAGTCCTTTTTCTTTCTTTCCTTCTTTCTTTCTTTTTGTTGTTCATTTGTGTTCTTTTAAATTAAGCCCAGGTGAATTTCCAATAAAAAGATCAATTGTAATATCAAATTGTGTGTATTAGACGTAAAAAGGGAATACTTTACTTTATATAATTGGTCCTGGGAATAAGGACTAGCAAGTGTTAATACTGAAAAGCACTTGTTTCTATCAATCTGTCTGTATGCCTGTCTATCAAATGTAAAGCACTCTGTATTTATTTTTAATTTTTCTAATAGTTTATTTTTACATCATTTTGTGCCTTTTTCCATCTCAGTTGCAATCCCCGTGGGCTTCCCATCACCAAATCACCCCTGTGCCATCACCAGTGCACTCCCCTCACAACACCCTCTCTTATTTGATCCCATTCCTCACTCCACTCCTGTAAAATGTCGCTGGTATATAGTTGTTCATTATTACTATTACTTTCTCCCTTGGTCCTTTATACTCCTGCTATGAGTGAAGCCATCAGTGTTTTCTTTTTCTTTCTAGCTTATTTCACTAAGCACGATCCCTTCCAGCTCCATCCATGTTGCTGCAAAAGGCATGAGTTTATCTTTTTTGGTTGCTGAGTAATATTCCATTGTGTCTATGTACCACATCTTTTTCATCCAGTCATCCACTTTTGGGCATTTGGGTTGATCCCATGTCTTTCCAATTGTAAATAAAGCAGCAATAAACATGGGGGTACAGGTGTCTTTTTGAATTAGTGTTTTTGTGTCTCTTGGGTAGATACCTAGGAGTGGGGTTGTTGGGTCGTAGGGATGCTCTATGTTTAGCAGTTTGAGAAACCTCCAGTTTTCTAGAGTGGTTGTACTAGTTTGCATTCCCACCAGCACACTCTGTATGTTGTAAAGTCATAAAGGTTTATATGTGTGATGAGTATTTGAGGATGTTAGGGTGTATGAGTCTGTATAAGAGAGGGTGCGTGTGTGTGTGTGCGTGTGTGTGTGTGTGTGTGTGTCTGTGTGTGAGTGAGAGAGAGAGAATTACATGGATAGAAAGAGATGGTTGCCCTGAGTTGGAAGCTGGCAAGCTGGGCAAGGGTGATCAGTCTCCAGGGCTTTTTATGGGAAAGAAAAAGTTAACATTTTCCATCCTACAGACGCTTTTAGTTCCCAAATAGATATTTCTTGTCACTATTTTTGTCAGTCACTATTCTACATTTAGCAAGTTGGATCTGCGTTGCCAGTGTGGATAACTTGTGACTTGATGCCATATAAATTATTGGTGAAGTCTGTGCTTGGCTTTGCTTCCCAGCATTGTAAATTTAGTTTTACTAAATCAAATTAAACTTCACAAAGACAGCGTGAATCTGTGCAACTGAAAAAAGCCAAGGAAGGACAATAAAGAGAATTGGTGCTTGCTCTAATTGCGATTGACTTGGTCCAACTCCCCTTCCTTTCACCATACTGTTTTACTTGGATATATGTTTTTTATTGTAGTAAAATAGACAAAATATATCATTTTACCATTCCTAAGTGAGCCATCTGTGGCATTAAGTATTCATAGGGTTTACCATTGCTGCCCCATCACCACGATTTGAAGCCAAAATCTTTTTCATCATCTTCTAGAAAGCTTACTGATTAAATAACTCCTCTTCTCCCTCTGCTAACCACGATTTAACTTTCTGTTTGTGTGAATTTTCCTATTCTAGGTACTTCATGCATAAATGGAATCACATACTGCCTTCTATATCTGGCCTATTTCGGTTTGCTTTATGTTTTCAATAACTATCTGTATTGCTCCCTATCAAAAATCTGTTCCTTGTGTGACTGTATAATATTCCATTACTTGTACGTACCACATTTTGTTTATAATTTTGTTTATAATGGACACTTGTTGGCTTTCTGTCTTGGCTACTGTCAATAATGCTGCTGTGAACATGGGTGTGCAAATGTCTATTTGACTGTCAGCTTTTTGTTCTAGTGGCCATAGACAGTGACATTTCTGGATCATCTGGTGGTTTAGTGTTTCTCACATTTTAAGAAGCTGAATTGCTCCTTAGAACCATAGCTTTCATTATAAAAAGTCACTGCTTCAAAAATGGTTTTCCTTACTGTTACCACTTCCTGATGTTTTCATCCTCTGTTTGAGCCCCCTGTGTCCTGCCACTGAAAGACAGTTCCACCGCATCCTCGGCTCTCAGAACAGTGCAGACATGCGCTGGGAGGGCCACCCTCACTGGCTGGCTCATCTGTTGTCTTCTCTTTCAGTACTGGATACAAATGACCGATTTCTACGGAAAATGACAATTGGGCAGGCTGACTCCGAGAAAGGGCACTGCCGAGAGGTACGTGGCTTCTCTTCTTGGCTCTGTGCTCACTGAGTTTCAGCTGCCCCAGGGGCTGCCTGTTTATCTCCTCCTCCTGGTGACAGGTGTGACCACACTGTGTCAAGGTGTCCATTTCCAGTTACTCAGCACACTGTGAGAGAGGAGTAGGACTCCGGGAGGAGCTCACCACCCTTCTCGGGAGGTTGTAATTGTGCTTCTGGGAAGAGCCATTCAGGTTGACCCTGGGATAAACATGTTTACATATTTTAGTGGAAATCTGCCCATTTCTTGCTACATCTACGTAACAACTAAAAAATGAAAATCTCAGCAGCATCAGTCATATTTCAGAAACCATAGAACAAACACCTAGTTGTTGGGCTTGTTAGCCCGAGAGTTTACGGTGGAGGTCTTACTACTCAAATCCAGAAACTGTGGAAGATAAATTATGATACCAACCTTCGTTTTAACGGTACTTAGGGAATGTAAATTCATTTCATGATCTTTCATCCAGACACAGTAGGCCTCTAAAATTCTTCTTTGGCAATAAACTTTGTTTTAAGACCATTTTAGATTTATGGCCTTTGCATTGTTAAGTTTTTATTGGTTGAAAAATAACGCTTTTGCTATAGTGTTCAGTATGGGAAGTATAATGTTCTTCTTGGCAAGTTTGGGTCCTTTGAAATATTTTGAATATGGGTCAAGAAGACAAGACAAGCCCGTACACCTTACCACCTCCTCCAAATCGTGGACCTTGCACCCATGAACAGATTTCTTGCTCTGGCCAACATGCAGGCTAGGAAGCCAGACTCATTGGTTTATCCTTTTGAGAAGCTTCTGAAAAGTAGGAAGCTGGAATTCTATCTGTGGAAACCGGAGTGCAAATTATGGCAGGATTGTTTTAGGGGAGTCTTGAGGTACAGATACGTGACAATAAATAGACTTCTTAGAAATGGGATAGGTCAGCATCCCCTTCGGGGTCGGTGGTTGGGGACAGCCCCAAGATGCCAGTGGGCAGTCACCTTCCCATGATGCCTGTCTGTGCTGCAGCCAGAATACTCCTTTGTGTATTCTGGAAGCCTGTTTGCCCACTGTGCACCATTCAGCCCTGGGGTGGCCTCACACCATGGTCACATTTGATTTGCCTGTGCCTCCTGTCGAACAGTGAAAAGTGCCCTTCTTTTGGAAAAACCAAGTGCACATAATGGGACACTTTTAGGAAAGGGTAGCCTTTTGTCAGCTGCATGACAGCACCATGAGGACTAGCAGTGGCCCTGTGAGTGGAGTTGGAAGAAAACGTAGCCATGACTGACACTCTTCAGTCTGGATATAGGCTGAGGTGTTGGGTTTTTTTTTCTGGTTTTAGATTCCACATATAAATGAATCATTTAGTCTTTGACTCTGACATTACACTGAGTATACTATGTTGATGATCTATCCTTGTCACAAATGACAAAGTTCCATTTCTTTTTCATTGCTGAGTAGTATTCCATGCTGTATATAGATCTCATCTTTACTTATTTGTCCATTGCTGAATATTCGGTTAACTTTGTATATCTGAATCATACAAAGCTCCATACTGCAACTTTGTAAATAATACTGCAATGAACATGGAGATGCATATCTTCTCGCATGAGTATTTTTCTTTGGGTAAATATCAGAAGTGGAAATATTAGCCATATTGTATTTCTAATTTTCATTTTTTGGAGGAATGTCCATGCTGGCTTTCCATAGTGGCTGCATCACCAATGCATTTACCAAGGACATTTACCTTTTCTCCACATCCTTACCAACACTTGTCTTTTGTCTTTTTCATGATAGTCTTTGTGACAGGAATGAGGTACTATCTTCTGGTGGTTTTGCTCTGCATTTGCTTTTCCGTTAATGATATTGCATGTTTCCATGTGACTGTTGGAAACTGTTAATTCACTTCCTCTGCCCATTTTAAAAATTAGATTGTTTGTCAATGAGTTGAATGGTTTATTTGTATATTTTGAACATTAACCCTTTATCAAATACATGATTTGCAAATGTCTTCTCCCATTCAGTAGGCTGTCTTTTTGTTTTGTCACTAATTCCTGTGGCTGCGAAAGCCTTTTCATTTGACTGGATGCAGTTGTTTATTTTTGGTTTTGTTGCCTTCATCCTTGGGGTCAAATTAGAAAAGACAGATTTGAAGACATGTACCGCCTGTTCCCTGCTAGGGATTTTATAGTTCTAGGTCTTAAGTTCAAGATTATAATTAATTTTTTTTTAAGATTTATTTATTTATTCATACAGAACTGGGGTACAGGCCAGACATTCTGGGGAGGTGAGAGGCTTCACCAGAGACAGTATGGGGAGCAGAACAGGCCAACTGACGAAGTACACTGCTGAGGGGGGCAGCGGGCAGGTCAGGAGAGGTCTGCCGCACCCTGTGGGTCACCTCTGGGGCTGGGGATTGAACTCATGCTGACGTGGCTTTAGCTTCTTAGTGCTGAGCTTTAACCTGCTGTGCCAGCAGGGAGGACCCTATAATTAATTCTGAGTTAATTTTTCTGTGTAGTATAAAATAGTGCTCCAGTTTCATTTTTTCATATGTTGTTTATACAGTTTTCCCAGCATTATTTATTGAAGGAAGTGTTCCCTGTGTATTTTCTTGCCTCTTTTTGTCATAGATCACTTGACTATATATGCCTGCATTTATTTCTGTAGTTTGTATGCCATTCCAGTTACCTGTGTTCTTGGGTTTAGATCAATGCTATGCCATTTTGTTTACCATCGTTTTGTAATGTAGTTTAAAATCGAGGTAGGGTGATGCCTCCAGTTTGTTCTTCTTTCTCATTATTGTTTTGGTTGCCCATCTTTAATGGTTCCGTACAAGTTTTAAAATTGTTTTATTTCTGTGAAAATGTCATTGGTGTTTTTGATAGGTATTATATTGAATCAGTAAATTGCTTTATGTGATATAAACACTTTAAAGATATTAATCCCTCTATTCCACAAGTATAGAGTAGCTTTCTATTTCTTTGTCTTCCATTTCTGTCTTCATTGTCTTAGTTGTCTTGCCTGGTTAAATTTATTCCCTGGTATTCTTTCTGATACAAATATAAAAGGAATTGATTCTTAGTTTTTCTTTCTGATATTTTGTTGGACTATAGATATACAACTGATTTTTATATTAGAACTTTGTATCGACAACTTCACTGTATTTATTAGTTCTAACTCTTTTTGGTGGCATCTTTAGGACTTTATACACACATACACATAAAATACCATGTTACCTGTAATGGTGAGTTTTATTTCTTCCTTTCCAATGCAGATGCCTTTACATACATATATAATATACACATAGATGAAAATTTCCAGAGATGTCATATTGACTCTCCATCCATGCCATCACTGCTTATCTTTTTAAATTTGTGATAAACAATAAACATAATCTGGGTTATTCCTTTATATTATTTGGAATCATTTTCTTGCATAATAAAAACATGTAGCTCTCTATCAGGTATATCATTCAATCAATAAAATTAATGATCATGCTATTTAAATTTACCCCGTTTGTTTCTTTTTTGATGTTACTTTAAGATGCAAAATTGTGGAATTGTTTTCATTACAAATATCTGTGTTATAAATACTACTTGTGTGGTTAAATTTTAGGACTATCTCTAGTCCTATGTTTTGCATAGAATATTTTTAGTCATTTTTTTATATTGCTGGTTGCAATTGAACAGCGGTGTAGAATCACCTATGCTTAGAGTAGGCTATATCGACCATGTAATAATTGAATATAGTTGAATCTGACTTTCACTTAATATTTTTCCCTAAATCAATGAGATCTCAACCAGGAAGTAACCAGAAAGCTTCTTATTTTCTTCATTTCCTTTCTTGACAGTGACGGAAATGGATAATAAAATGTCTCATTAGGTGATTCCACCAGGAATGGCCATTTTCTCTGTATAAACTTGAACTTGTCTGGTTCACTTGCCCCTTGGGGGGAGAATTCAGCTGGAGCGTAATGAAGTGGTTTTGTCCAATAGCTGAACTATGAGGAGGACATGCATGTCTCCCCAAAACACTTAGCTCTTGTTGGACCGCGCAGCCTGGAGGCAGAGCCAAGTGCAAGCTGAGGAATCCTAGGAACCTTTCACAGAGGGTAGCCTCTCTCCACATTTGCAGGGTCTCATATGGCCATGGCTCGTGCACAGCTGGAAATTGATTCCCTGTCACCTTTGACTTGGCTGGCACCCGCCAAGAATCCCTCACTGCAGTGTTGAGGTCTCTAGCTCTGGGAAGCCAACTTCGAGGCCATTTTCACTCACTGTCTGCTCTTAACTTCTTTGCTAGACACAGAGTAGCCAATAAATATTGACCACCTACCAGGCTTCACCCTCAATCCTCCAAGCCAGAGATTGAGGAGTAAACCCGTCTCAAGTAGTGGACACTTACATCAGGCTGGTCATCACATTAACTGCTGGCCACATGTCAAAATACAAAAGCAGACCCCAGAGTACCGGGAGCAGATGGAACCGTGGCCTGGCAGGGTCAGCTGGGCAAATGGAGACAGCCTGGGCAGGCTGCCTACCAGAACCAAGCATAGGAGCAGGCTGTCTCTAGACACTATTGTCTGGGAAACGTGTGAGCGTGACATGGACCCATCCAGAAAGACCCCCAGGGGTCTGCTTGTGGAAGCGGCCATCCCCGGGGTGCAGTTGCTGACCAGTGTTTGGCTCTGGCTTTTGCAGGCACAGTTTGACATTGCAGTGGCCAGTGAGATCATGGCGGTGCTGGCCCTGACCGACAGCCTTGCAGACATGAAGGAGCGGCTGGGGAGAATGGTAGTGGCCAGTGACAAAAATGGGCAGCCCGTGACAGCAGAAGATTTGGTGAGTGTGTCCATCCCAGAAGCTTCCAGTGCCATTGGAAATAGATGACCTCGAAGGGGTCTTACAAGACGATTGGTTCTCAAGCCCTTGGGAGAATCCACCCACACGCTCCTGCTCCTGAAATGTCTCCGGTGAAGCTGTGTTGCACGCCCTTTTTAAGTTTTTCAGAGCTACTCTCACTTGCTTTTGCTCAAAGCGTGGCCTTCCAGTCGCTGACGCCTATGTTGGAAGGTACTCGCTCAGTGTCTTCAGAAAATTGGGAAGGAATTTAAAATGAAAAGTGAGCTTCTGTAGCATTCGTAGGCATATCCTACATACTGAGCTTTTTGCTTGCAGAATGAGCTTCTGTCAATCTAAGTCATTTTTTCCTCTTTTGCAGGGGGTGACAGGTGCTTTGACAGTTTTGATGAAAGATGCAATAAAACCAAATCTGATGCAGACCCTGGAAGTAAGTGATTTTCTTTCTGCAGAAACTTGCCTGAGTGTGCATTAGCCACGATCCCCGTGCGTCACCACGCTGCGGGAGCATTTCCAGCCAGCCTGGGGCCAAGGTGACCCCTTGGTCATGCGGGGAAAAGTGAAGTGTTTGTGGGGTCTTTGATACGGTTCATGCACTGGCTGAGGAAGTGCTGGTTGACCTTGACCAAGTAGAAACTCAAGGTGTGCCCTTCACACAGTGAGTCACGTGGCCTTGTTGATAATGCTTCTCTTTTGCCTTTTTTATGACTTTCTTTTAAGCTCCCATAATCACTAAGTTTTGGGGTTTGTGGTTTGTTTTTCCCAAGCAAAGCACTCATTAAATGCCAAGAAACGTCTTCCAGGAAAAGACGTTATAAATATTCCAATCTTTGTAAGGTTTTTTTGTCTGACTTTCTCTGCTCTTGTCTTCATTGAACTCAAATTCTCTCACTAGAATAGATCTATTTTCGTCCAGGTTTCTGGAATCAGACAATCATTTGTCTTACTCATTTGATGCCGTAGTTGGCTTATTCCTTCCTGTAGTCAGTGAGACCCCCGGACTCGGGTGCAGAACAGGAGCAGCAGCAGGGATGGGCAGACAGGTGGGAGGCCAGGGTGGAAGACGGAGATGTGCATGTGCCGGGGAGTGCAGGGACAGCTCTCGGCCTGAGGCGGCAAGCAGGAGGAAATCCTCGGTCTGCAGCATTTACGGCCAATGTCCTCAGGCCTGGGGGTGCTGGCCCCACCCATCCCTCTCGGCCCCCTCATCCCTCTTCCCCGCCAAGACCTGTTGCTCACAGATAGCACTGCCTGGGTCCGTCCGCGACCCTACAGACCCTTCCAGTCCAGCCCGCCCAACACTGTCCTGTCCTGTCCTTCTGCACCACAGGAATGCTAGCTGGGGCTCTGGGCTCTGTTTTTTGTTTGTTTGGTGGGGTTTTTGTTGTTGTTGTTGTTGTTTGTTTGTCTCCTGTTTGTCCTCCCATCGAGAAAAGAGACCTGGTGTTTGCCACCCAACTGCCTAGGAAGGATGTGCCTCACAGTAAATCCTCAGTGAATAATTAAATCCACGACAAGCATCATTACCCTGTTGCCCCTAAAAATGCATGTTTGTTTAGTAAATGACCAGGTGAGAAAAAATCTGAAGAGATGTGGTGTTGCCTCCTTATAACTCTGCCCCCTCAAAATGAGCACATTGGGCCAAGCTGCCCTGAGTGATTTTTCTCTCTTATACTTGCAGGTCTATTTGTCATCTAAGATGCAGGCCACCTGGACATTATTTCAACAGGCAGTGGGCTTTGAAAGATGAGCACAGCGTTCCCTCTGAATAGTCTCCAGGGCCTCCCTGGTGGCCAAGGGGCTCAGTCTCAGCCCTGTCACCCCCCCCCCACACACACACACACAGCCTGAGTTTGACCCCCAGCCACGGAGCTGACCCACATGGCGCAGCAGACCCCTCCTGTCTCCCACTGCTCCCTTCAGCAGTGGATTTCAATAGATCCTCCTGTTCTGCTCCCCACTGTCTCTGGTGAATCCTCTCACTCCCCCGTCCCCCATCTGTGACCGACACCCCAGTTCTTCTATGCAAAAGTAAATAATTAATTTAAGAAACAAAAATAGTCACTCAGGGTTATTAACCCAGCTAGGCAGTGGCACCAGGGAGCCAATAGGCCAGTCCTCGAAAGTCACCATCAGGGTGCAGGCTGCTTTGGTGCCTGCGTTTGCATACACGTGACTGCGGGTCCTGCGGGAAGTTATCAGGGATCACGTTGCTCCAGGTTGTCCGGAGACCAGTAATTCTCAAACCTGGTTGCACATTGGAATCTTCTAGAAAGACTTAAAGATACAGATGCCTGTGAAGCCTCTGGGCGGTAGGCTTCTTGTATATAACCAGCTGAGAACTTCCCTGTGGTAGACTCAATTTGTGAAGAGGGAGAAGTGGAAAGAAAGGTCCCAACACTTTACCTGGAGTTACTGTGCAGGGAAGCGCCTATGCTGACCCGAGAGTCCCCTGTCCAGGATGACACTGAGCCCTCGTGGGACTATCGATAATTTGGTTGCAATTAAACTACAGGGCCCTCCTTGGTGGCACAGCGGGTTAAAGCACAGCACTAAGAAGCTAAAGCCACTTCAGCAAGAATTCAAACCCCGCCC